GATTTTTGTGGGGGGCTAGGATGAAAAATTTTGTCCTGCATTTTTTTAGTTGTAATCTCGGTCCTGCCTTTTTTATTTTTCACTTTTTTCGGTCCTGCCTTTTTTTTATTAGTTTATCCTCACTTTTTATACATACTTTGTCATCCTGCCTTTTTTTTTGCCAAGTTGCTCATCCTGCCTTTTTTTTTTACCTTCCTTTTTTTCAAATTCCATCCTAGCGCCCCCGCCCATAAAAATCAAATGGTAGCTCCCTTAGTTCAGGATATCGTCTCACACTTTTAGTTGAAGTTCCCTTGTGAATATTCCCAAAATTGCGAAAATATATTTTAAGTAAAACCTAGGCTTATGAATAGGCAGGAGGCTCACAAAGTCGACATTTTTCAATATGGTACGAAAAATACGTAGAAATCTGTTCGTTAAGGATAATGCTTCAATTTTCATAGAAAATGTTTTTAAAAATACTTGTACAGTGCCCGATTGAAATATACAGTATTTAATTCAAAATATCAAATTTGAATTTCCCTACAATGTAAAAAAATATATATCTAAATTTATTAACTATATCGTTTTGCAATAATTGATTCAAATCATTAAATTCATACAGATCCAAAAAGAACTATTTTGTTTTAAAATCTTGTACATATTCTATATTTTCAGTCTGTCAAAATAATAATTTCGTGTTCTTGAATCTTACTGATAATAGACATTTAAAAAATCGAATATATATAAATGATCAGCTTCCATTTTCCACATAGGTCGGGATATTCCTTGCATACTTTTTTTTTTAACAAGACGGCTCCATTTACAACCCTAGTACATATTCATCAAGAATTTAAAAAAAAAACACTTTTTAATTGTTCTTTTGTTTCTGTATCTACACAATATATCTGCTAAATAATCAATTACTACCGTTACATTTACATTTCGTGGTAGATAATAACCTTAATTATCAATATAAATAAACAGAAAAATATCCCAGATGTCCAATTAGCCTGTACAATGGTTTACTTAACTGTAGATCTGTTTCATCCAAACCAAGAGTTTCACAGCAGTAGCTTAATCTCTTGTTTGCAAACTTGTTACACTGATACTCTTGAAATGAACATTATCTTCAAATTGTTATGTAAATTTCATCTAGGATCAAAGGTTGACCTCCTAAGGTAAAGTAACAAGATTATCGATGTCCTCCCGTGGACATTGGTCACTCTTCGGCCGTGGTTTGATCAAAGCATGGCCACCTAAGGACCCGTAACAAGATTTTCTTCTTTTCGATGCAAACACGTCAATCTTCTTGTCTAAAATGGCCACCTAAGGTCCTTAACCAGATTAGTGGTCACTGGTCAGTCTTTAAAGAATATCGGTACTGACCAGTGGGGTGCACTCGTTATCTCTGCGGAAAACGTTGGAAATCCAACGATGCTGAAAAATAGTTAAGTGTTTGGAACCTTTGAACAGTTTTTCCATCATTGAAATATGAAAACGTTTTGTATTAAGTTATCTTTCATGTTCTTTGGGGTAAAAATGACAGCTTTATTATAAACTCTTCACTGATTTCATGATAGTGTCGGAACTTCAGGAGAAATACGGCTTTCAAATGCTTTAACTGCTTAGATTTTTAATATTGATTTGTATATATTATAATTGAAATATGTTGAAATATTCGAAAGAACTGTAAAATGATAAAGACCAGTCTCGTTACAGATGAATTATTATTGCCGAAAAATTAATGTATTCTTCTCATGAAAGCCTTTTCCAGCGGAGGTTTCAAATTAAAATATACTTTAATTTGTAATGAGTTCTATTTTTTTAACCACAATTTACACTCTACGCATGGCTATAAATGAATTTAAAAATATAAGTAAATGAAATTAAGAAATGCCATTTTCAACGTAACACAAAACTGTTGGAATCAAGACCTTCTTCAACCATTTATTTATCTTGTTGGCTGCAAATTCGTTCCTGTGATAGTAGGTAAGATTTGCTAATGGACAAATTTGTAAGACTATACAAATCCTTGCAATTACATAATATATCTCTGTTTAAGTTCGTTTCTTAGTTATATCTCTGTTTAGATTTGTACAATTTTAAAGTTTCTGATGACATTTTTTTTAATAGATAAGTGATTTAAAATATTAATTTTCTAATATTAAAATTGACAATATATGTCAAATTTCGATTATCAAACAACATTATTTTAATATTAAATTTGGTTTTTAAATAGTATACACTTTTTTTTAAAGTTAACGCGTTTGTGTCAATTTATTCTGCTGATTCTATACATTTAAATTTTGGTAGTCATGTTCTAAAAACATTACTTTTTTTAAAGATTGCATTATTGAAAATATAATGCTCAAATCTATCTTTTTGATTCATTATAGTTCATTTAATAAAAAAAAAATTAACACACTCTTTCCAGATCCCTGACCATTCCTTGACCAAACTGGCCATTTATCGGTTCAAATGAAAATAGAATTTGTCAAAATTGACCACTTTGCACGTGTTCGTTTTCAAAATAAACAATTAAGCGTGTCATATATACTAATCGGTAATTATAACTTGTCCCTGGAGAAACTTACATTTAGAATTCTCGAAATGGTAAAATTAATGACGCGTGTAACGAGAAAATTACGAAAGTTGACATCTCGAATTTTTACTGCCTCTGTTTCACTGGGAGCTATGGACTCTATCGAAATCAACGTAGCATGTATATTTGTTGAAATATTTTCCCAGAAGAGCATTCATTAAATAAGATTTATTGTAAAGACACTAAAATGTAAAGAAAAACTTAAATCTCGCAAAAATGCAACATTATAAATTAGGTTTTATAGATTATAATAAAAAGTTATATAAATATATAATTTTGAAACAGATTTATTGTTAATAGTAATAATATATATACATTTTTTTTTATCGTCATTGTCTCCTTTTTGTTTGTTTTTTCCTTCATTAATGTTTTTTTGTATTTCAGTTTCATTTGCATGACAACTGTCATACGCAATTCTTGATACCTTGACAACATTTTGCATATAATATATTTCATTTTATATAAACTGACATTACACATTAGAAGAAAATCCAGAGAAAATCGTTATTTATGAAATTAAAATGATTTAATTATATTTGACAAGTTGACGGCAGGATGTGTTACACTGAAACTGACAAATAAACAACAGTAGCCATTTTACACGTGCCAGAGCAATTTCCGGTGCTACTAATGACACGTGTGTTAATTGAATTATATATTGCAATACACAACAATATTCTGGTCGTGAAAACGATAGTGTCATATATTTGAGCCTTGTTCCCGCTTGTTAATACCTATAGTATTTTTTCGTCATACGATGTTCTATAAATGAAAAGAAATATATATTATATTTTAAAAGTTATAATAAAAAATAAATATTTGTATGAAAGAGGGTCTTTCATTTCTGTATTCTTTATTGTTTATAGCATTGTTTTCTATTCTATATTTCTCCTCATCATTTTTCCATTGTATAATCCTCATTCATACCTCATATAATGTCCACTTTCGGGGAAAATTAGCGATTGACAGTCATATGAAAAAAAAAGAAGCGTGGACTAGAAGCCATGAGACAGTAACCAAACAGTATAAAACTACTTGTTTCAAGGATACAGACACACACATAGTCCATGCATATCTACATTATATTTGCCTTTCTTTTCTATTCTATATCATTTCTTTATTTTACCCTGGCCAGTTTAATATCAAAATAGATTTTCAAAAAATTAGTTTTATTAAAAAAAAACGTAAAGAAAAATGATGTGCAGGAAATTACTGAATCGCCAGAAAAAAAATATATTCTTTTATAAGACAAATAATGGAAAAAAAATTAATTGCCAGCAAAAGTGTTGTTTAAAAGTACAGTTAAGAAGTGCAATTTGTCTATTTCTATCGATATAACATTTATAACTGCACGAGGATTTTTTTGTTGTTGAAAAGTTTAGTAGAAATTTTTTAATTTCCGTAACTTTTGAACGGCGTTTTTCATAACTTATTTAGCCACTTTGAATAAAATTTGAGAGATTTGTAATTGTTCCAGTTTCCCAGGACATGTGTATTGTTTTTTGTTCAGTGTTAGTTTTACTTTTCTCGCTATCTTTGAAAATAGAGCACTTGTTACAATAATCTGTATAACGCCTGTTTTTTACTATATCTGATCGGATGCTAAAAGGAGAATTTTCAAATTATCAAAAATTGAATTCGATTTTGCGTAAAGTCATATTAGAAAAGAACGTAGTTTTACAAAAAGATTTTTAATAACATAATGACGCTATACATTTTTAAACGGTACCTTTGTTTTACAGAAAAAAAGGCTAATAAGTGTCTGTTTCAAGCATTTGATTCTATACCTATATAAAAATAATTTGACATCAAATATTTAAAGTATTTTTTTGTTATGGTATATACACAAATGTTTAACTTATAACACAAAAAAGGAAGATGGGGAGATTTCCATTTTACCCCCTCCCCCTTTCCCCTTTTTTTTTGTTCAGATCATAGACATATGCCCTTCTCTGTATATTATACATAATTATTTTCAATTTAATATATAATTCTCAATTGTTTCATAATTTGCGGGTAGATGGATGTATTTTTGGAGTTTTTTTTAAATTTAAATTTCATAAGGCTGGATGGAAACTTTTAATAAATTTTCAAGTGGGTTTTTTTGTTCATTTTATAAGCTGGTTTAAATAGATTATTATTCGTTTTTTGAATATATCCCTCATTCTAATTTATTGCACTTGGTAAAAGCAGAACAGAGAAATAAAAATAAGAGCATAAAATGAAGCAGTAAATTTGTCATAATTATCAAAAGTGATTATCTCAGCATGCGATCATTATGTAGGCGGGGCTAACGGTGCAACTAGGCGGAGCAGTTCAACTGCCTACAGCGATAACGGAATCTGATTGGTTTTGATTAATTTTGCGTAAACTTAAGAAAAACGTGTAAATAAAAGATGCTTTGGCATTCTGTGATTATAGTTTGTACCTTAACTGATATTAGAGAATCGAAAAAAGACATCTGTTAATATTTGACAAACTCAAGATCACACAATTAGCATTCAGCATCTGACGATTGTTTCTGCAAATTAAAACTGAACAGTGACAGTTGGGGGAAATTTTGTATACTTGTAACTATTGTGGATTATTTGACAAGAAACAGGATGAGTTTGGGTGTGGCCGGGTATCACCATCAAGGATACCACCACCCGGGACCAATGACACACGATTTTTACCAAGCATACCAACACATGCCACGATACTCAGACCACTGCACGGACGCCGCTTATTTTCAGAACTGGGTCTTGAATGGCCACCATACTGATATACCGATGCCGCCCGATATTTACGCAATGGGTGGCACTCCGTCGTCGCCCGAGACTTATACTCTTGGTGGGGTACAGTACGAACACTACATAGATAAAAATGGGGACAGAATTGTGAAAAGACGGGTGACCGCTAACAAAAAGGAAAGACGAAGAACACAAAGTATTAACACTGCTTTTGCTCAGCTTAGAGGATGTATACCAAATGTTCCATCTGATACAAAATTGTCTAAAATCAAAACATTAAGACTTGCTACCAGTTATATCACTTATCTCATGGATGTATTAGCAAAAGATGATCCCACGTTGACGGAAAATGGGTTTAAAGCGGAGCTAACGAAGAAAAGTGACAAAAAAGAAGAAAAGAAGACAGCCATCAAATCCGAACCAGTAAGTAGGTTACTTTGTTAATTTTCTATAAATATTAAAATTGTGTACAATGTACTCGGCAATTTATACATACGAGGTGGTTATAAGCCGGTTCTCATAGATATTTGCGTTTACCAGAAGTGTTATAATGACTGGTAAATACCAAACTTCAATGGGGAATAAAAACTTTTGAAATAAGATATTTCGAAAAAGATGCGCAATATTTTCCTATCACAAAGGCCCAATTGAAAAAAAAAATGATCACGATAGTCAAACGTAAAAAAGTTTCGTATGTTTGAAATGGTAATATATAAAAAAAAAAATTAAAAGAAACGGTGAATCTAAATTAAAAAGTAATAATGATTTTCCTTTAAAATTTTGGCGAATTTTATATATTTGAGCCGTAATTTTTCTACAGCTCTTATAATTTACTTTTGTTTACAATTCTAAGAAAATTCAACAATGCGAAGTTTCATTTTTTACTAACATGACAACAATAAACTTTCAGAATGCAAGATTTTTTTTTATGGTGAAGTAAATTTACATCATTATGCTTACAAATTAAAAAAAATACAATATTACTTTATTCCAACAAATTTGTTTTGTATAAAAAAAAATAAGAAGTTGTAGTATGATTGCCAATGAGACAATTCTCCAGCAGAGACCAAATGACGTAGAACTTGTGTTCTCTTAATTGGTAAAGACATCGAAACATACAACAGACTTTAAGATTTTTAAGATAAACATTATCAAAAAATGTTAAAGACAACATTTCGAAATAGATATTTTAACTAAGACAGGAAACTAATAGACCTACTTCAGTAATACTGTGTTTTTATCAAGCAATACATTTAAGCTAGGTACCAATTTATCAAAAATTTCATAATCTCAAATTATCTTAATGCATAAAAAAACGCCTACTTAACGTAATGATTTCCACTTATCTTTTATGACATTTTGAATTAATATCCACATATTTATAAATCGTCCTTTTTAAATGGAAAGAAAAAGGGAAGAACAGTTTATGGAAAATGACTCAAATATAATATTTATTCTCAAAATGGTTCACGAAGTGCTCATGCGGTGCTTTCCAATACATACTAGTTTCTGTTTTATTAATTCTCAACCTAATTTAACCTCTTTCGGATATTTATGTATTTGGGTTGCTGTCTCATTGAAGCATACTCTACGTGTCCTCTTATTCATATTAGATTTTAGTGCAGTAGCATTTTGGGCTCTGATCTTCGAATCTTGAAAGACATAGATGACCAATGTACCGCTACCTATTTCGATGAAATTAATTTCTGATAGCTATTATGAATTCTAATACAAACAAGAATTTATAGTTCTGATAAATGCATTCCTTTATATAATCATATGTAAACATTCAAATGTACATAACATTATGCGTTCCTCTCGATCGAACCATAGATATGGCTATTATATCTATGATTGAACAAAGTGTACAAAATTGCAGAAAAAAAACGGACCAAAAATAAGGGAAATAATGGTTTGATTAAACAGTATACATCCCTTTAAAATATATCCAGAACTGAAAGTGGGCGGACTTCGCCCCCTCATTGCCGAAAAGTTGTGGCTTTTAGAATATTTTTCTGATTTTTGACTGACATCCCCCTTTTGGAAACTCAGGAATCCACCTTTGAAAGTAAAGAAAATCAAATTAAATAGAGATCTCAACTGTGCAGGTTTAATTTTGCAAATGGAACTTTCATTTATGAATTAAATTCTTGAAAAGTCTCAAGTATGTTGAAATTTGTTTACACTCTACAAGCAAAAATTTGAAATGCCTGGTGCGACCCCTCACGTATTTTTGCCCTGACCCCTTTTAAACTGAAGTGAGATTTTATAAGTAGTTAATAACAGGGGCTTATCAGACATTCGTATGCATGATGTAGCAAGATTAGCAATGAAGATAGTTGTTTTTACTACAACCTGAGGTGTTTACTTACAAATATTTCTTATTAATGTGTAAATAGATACAAATAATCACCAAAACAAAGAAGTTACGGTACATTACAACGGTATGGTATAACGGACTATAAATGCTTTTCTAGCACTTTTATTCTTACTGCTTTTCTCTTTGAAAGAATCGTAATTTCTATTTATTTAAAACTTTAAAAATGTTGTACGGTGGCCTAGAGTTGTTAATTTCTGTGTCATTTGTTCTCTTGTGGAGAGTGGCCTTGGCAATCATACCACATCTTATTTATATATTTGATTTTTTAAAGGTATTTTACCGATAATGGGTTAAAAAATACAGGTCGAAGACTCCCAAGATTTTAAAATCGATTTTCTTGGTTATCATCTACCACAGAAAAACACAAATATTTATATACCTATCTATAAAAAAACAGATTACAAAATAAGTTTTCTCATATCTGATTTCGACTGAGGAGGAACAAAAATTATGTAAAAAACTCTATTTATACCAAATTCTCTATGGACAATAGTTGTTGATAATATATTAACAATATTATAAAAGAAATGTAGTGGCAACAAAAATTACTAAATGTAGTTCTGAATTTGTACAATGATATCAAAAACATCTTTAATGCAGAGTTTCATGATCGCTTTCTATTACAGTTTGGAATGCATCAAGCGGCAAATGAACCGTTCAATTATTCTTATTTATTCGTGTCATTATTAAAAGCATAAATTAAAGTTTAAATATACTTTACTTCATTGCAAAAAGTAATAAAAAAGAATACAAATAAATTAGGGTTTTCTTACAAATTCTCTCACGTTATTTACTGTTTCGTATTAATGTGAACTGTCATCGTTTAAAAATAACATTAAAACATTCCACTGCCCAGTAATGGCCGTCAAAAGCCAGCTTCGAATCGCTTGCCATGCTGAGGTTAAACCAACAAGCGGCGACAAGAATTATATGTGTAATCGACATTTCCATTCAGTTATTGTTTCTGAATATCTTTTATCAAAATGTTTTCATTAAGAAAAATACTTCGGAGCTCGTTAAACCCTATGTGGCCATGTTAACCCAGTGATCCCGAGATTTGTTAAATAAAGCACCGTGATTATAAACATAAAAATGATATCAATCATAAACTCTGAATTCGTTATATCCAAAATATTATAAAGCTTAAAATTACATCGCTCAGCATTGTTTCAATTATTTTATCTAAATTAATGTAAGGACGAACACGAATGAAGACCTTCATATTGATCTCATGTATATCACTGACGAAACGCATTCTGTATAAATAATGAATGTTTTAACTGCTTGTTCCCATTGGTTTTTGTTCTAAAATAATTTTTGATATTGTTCTTGACTCCTTCTGGGCCCATTAAATGGAAATAGATATCTTAAAATCGTCTAAATTGCGTTCTCTAAAAATTCAAATATTTTCAATCAGTTCAAGTGAACTTTAATGCAAAAAGTACATTTGGAATTTAGTTTAAATAAAATTTAACATAATAATCATATACACTTAAATGAGAAAATAATTTGAAAACGATTAATATCGTTGTCACTCACTCTTCTAGTAAAACGAGAACTAATATACTTGAAAAACAGTATATTCTCTAAATTTTATAATCTCTAAACTGCAACAAACACACGAAGCATTTCTTTGGAATATGCAAAAGGAAAAGAGACATAAGGTACAAATTTAAGGATGAAGACACTTGACTAGCTTTCATGCTGAGAGGTTAATCGTTTAGATGACAAGTGATGTCTTATTTCATTTCAAAAATTAGGTGTAGATTTCACCATTTGAAATCAATTTGCTGTTTTTATGTGTAGACGGCTCCACTTTACATGTTATGCTATATGAATGTGCTTAGCTGCTGTGAGAAATCCATAACAACACTAATAAAATTAACGGAGGGCATTTCGTATATATTTCATTCTAAAGCAGATGTATTCCTGAAACATACAATGAAAATAAGCTGAAATAGACATCGATAATAAATTGAAATAGACAACGGAAAAAGCTGAAATAAACATCGATAATCAATTGAAATAGACAACGGAAAAAAAGCTGACACAGACATCGATAATAAATTGAAAAGCTGAAATAGACAACGAAACTTTTTGGAAAAGCAATGCAACTGATTTAAACTAGACAGTTAAAATTATTCCAAATAGACAATGGAAATAAGCTAAAAAACAATGAGATTTAGTTTAACCGCAATGAAACTAATTCAAGCTAGACAGAGAAAATAAGTCGAAATATGCAATGATATTAAGTAGAAATAGACAATGGAAAATAGTCTAAGAAAACAATGAAACATAGGTAAAAAAATAAAACTTATAGTTGAAACAGATGGATAAAATACAAAAAATTGTCCAATATTTTACTGGCAGTGTATCTATATAAGCATTTATAATTTGATTTTATGCTGACATTGCATCGTTGGTTGAAAAACAATTCTAGAGCACCTGCTATGCCACCTAAGACTTTTCTGATTACAACTTATAATGACTAAACATGTACTTTCTGAAATTATTCGTTTTGTAAACGAGAGAATACTACAACTACACCTTCAAATTTCGGATTCTTTATGTGGACATTTTAGAGCGAAATTGTATAAAAAATTATCCACTATTAAATAGTGCAAACATGTTTGTTTATATCCTCATCAGCGTTCGCATGCAGCGAAAAATTAAGAGTATTACAGTTTAATAGCTTATAATATTATAAATATATGATCAAAACAAAATGCAAATTACATTATATACTTTTGACCCGACTGAAGTTTACAACAATATTATATTTACAATAATTTGCAAAAGTGCTTTTATAATAGGAAGATAATTTATAAGATCAGATACACAAGTAGTAGCTTACACGTTTTCCTCTTTAACATCTTCCAAAAAATTATGTTCCACTTAACACCGTTTTAACTGCATTTACCTCGTCTTCGTCAGTGTTTTAAGTGTTATTATTTGGAGTGCAAATGCGGATTTTATTTCATTAAGAAATGTAAGGAAGTAAGTAATGGTTTTCTAGGTCCAGGGCCCGTATGCTTAAAGCTATTTAA